CGTGGCTCACAAAGTGTTTTACAAAGCGTGGCAATAACAGCCACCAGACACGGATCCTTTCAGAGCCACCCCCCCCCCCCCCCAAAGTTGCTCCCCCCCCCTTTCGCCCCCCAACACCGACAAAGAGAGCCGCACATGAGATGGTGATCGACGCGATATGAAGCGGAGTTTTTTTTTTGTTTAGCCGCGGAGGAGAAACTCGAAGTCGTCGAAGTCGCCCCGTTTACATCCGCGAGTGGAGCTCCGACGTCGCTTAGAATCATCGATTGTTGAAGATCACCGGGGGGGGTTCCAACGTTTCGCACCCACCCTCGCCCCCACACCGCCCCGGTTACCCTTCAATCACGAAGGCGGCCACGACACCCACATGGGTTCTGCTAAGTAACAGCAAAACAAACGCAGCCAAAAGACGCGCGATACGGTCAGCGAAAATTTCGGCCATGAATTCATCTGAAGCGTGTGTACTACGATAATGCCTCCTGTTGCTTTTACACCTATGTATATATGCGCGCGTGTGTGTGTGTGTTGTGTGTAGACATATATGTGTGTGCGCGCGCACGTGGATATATGTGTACAACGTAGATCGCTCTTTGCACGTGGTCTTGAACCAATGCTTCTTGATGAGACGTAGAAGGACGTGTGGCTGATGGGATGAGTCAAAAATAAAAATAAAACAATACTTGGAAAAATAATACTTTTCATATATATGGAGAGACACAGTGAGAGGATGCATTAATGAATTTTCCTATCATAGCGAGCCTGACACTGCTGATGAGACACTGAAGATCAAAACCGTTCCATGCCCTTAAACATCCGGCAGTTCAGCATTGGTTTCAAGCGAGCCCGACGCTGCTGATGAGACACTGAAAGACGAAATCGGTCCAGAGGTTGCATACATTAAAGCAATGCTGCTGTTATGGTATTTACAGGAGGAAAGGCCGAGACTATGTGTGGGTGTAACAAAACAAAAATACTTTTTTATATATATGAGTAGAGACAAATAATGGGAGACGTTATTTATTTTATGAATTATGTCCTCTCTCGCACGACACTTAAAATAAAACGACGATTATCGTTATTATCATTTACCAATCAGCGATAATAATTCATGTTTCCACGCGCGTGTCCTACGTCCCGTAATCCGCGAAATGAACGCCGTTTCGTTCTCAGCGCGGTGCCTAAAAGTCTCCCCTCCCCGCCCCGCCCCTCCCCACATCTTTATTTCATTGAGAATGGGTTACGATAAAATATAGCAACAACATAAGACAACGCCGTGGTGGTGGTGGGTGGTTGGTGGTTGGTGGTGGTTCACGCGGTGGTCACAGACACCCTCCCGCATTGAGAGTCCGTAATCCAAGACGCTTGTAGAGGAGGACGCCTATCAATGAGCGCCCGGCTGGTGAAGTTAAACCTCGTCTACAAACCCCCGCCCCCCTCCCCCCCCCCGAGTGATTAGCAGTCAACCAGCCGTCACAATAAGTCAGTCGGTGGGCAAGGGACATCGTGATGAAATCGGATGGCATTATGATACACGTCCAACAATCGTCAGCATCACCATCATCATCATCATCGTCGTCATCGCAATAATTATCATCGGCTGCTGCCGATGCTATTATAATGAAACGGCGCGTGACAATGGAACTTCACCATTGACTGTAAACCTATAAATCGGGAGCGTCGTCTCTGCCCTCACCCGCCAATGGACATTAAAGACCCCCCCCCATCACTCCCACCACCACCACCACTCCCCCCCCCCCCCCCCCCCGTGACGTCTAGCTGTAGAGAGAGCATTCCGCTCAATATACACGTGCTATCCCTTGGAGGTTTTACGACGAAAACGAGACGAGCAACACAAAATCGTGGACAATTAATAAATGTGCCTTCGTGACTTATAGAAAATGCCTGCCACTAGGAGTGCCCCTTAGGCCAGATCATCACAACAACAACAACAGCAGCAGCAACAGCAGCTTTTGCTCCGAGATGATTTCGATGGAACCTAGCTAGCAACGCTGCGAGGAACGATAACTCCAAACGCGACTGGTGCTCAATCGTTTATCGCAGATGAGCAACTATGATTAGGAGTCAGAGAATAGTGATTTGGACGAGATTGTGTGATAATAGCAATTATTTTATTATGATTAAATGCGTAAACTTTTAATATTCGATGGAGTGTTTCTGTTAACAAAGCGACATAGGTAACGATTATAAAACCACGGGCCCCTTATAATTTATATATCTACATAGAGCACCTCCATACATTGATACCGATATCAAACCTTACGTACACACGTGCTCCGTGCGAATACTACAAATCACACGTGCTCGTATACATAGAGTGTGTACGTGCGTGTGTGTGGGGGGAGCGGTAGTGTAGCGGTTAGCGCCCTGCGTTATGAACCCGGCGATCCGGGTTAGATTCCCACTCACGGCCAACACCAGTGACGATTGTCTGAACCGGTCCTGGGCCTCCCCTAGGTCGACTCAGCCTCAAATGAGTACCTGGTGCGGTGTGTAAACATCGCCACTGAGGAGACAAAGACGGTCGGGCGTGGTGCTGGCCACCCACCCCCTCGTGTGCCGTACCGGCGTTCATAGGTGCTCGCTAACAGCACTTGCCACTACAGTCTGTCAAGGCTATACGGGGGATCTTTGTCTTGTGGGGGGAGTGGTGGCGCAGTGGTTAGCGCACCGCGCTACGAACCGATTCTCCGCTCACGGACACCACCAACAAACACCGGTTATGATCACCTGAACCGCTCGTGGGCCTCTCCTAGGTCGACTCAGCCTCAAATGAGTACTTGGGGCGACGTGTGAATGTAGCTGGTAGGGAGACAAAGGCGGCCGGGCGTGGTTCTGCCCACACATCACCCCCGTCGTATTCTGTGCCGGGCCTTCATAGGCGCTGCTCGCTAACAGCACTTGCCCCAACAGTCTGTTAAGGCTATATGGGTTGGGGGGGGGGTGTCTTTGTATTTGTATGCGTGTATACACGTGTCCATATATAATAAGAGAGATATATATTCTTAAAAAAAAACATTTTCCTAAACATAAAAGCAACAACATTTAATTTGGAGGGATATAATCAGTATATATATAAAAAAAAATAACAGTTTTAAAAATTCACAGTTATTACCGCGATTTGTAGTAATAAAAAAAGAGATACTCCCCGCACATCCCTCGATAGACAAGAGAAAGACAAAGACGCGTGCGTGATAGTAAAAGAAGAGACGACCCCCCATAACACCCCCCCCTCCCCGTGTGTCTATAAACAAGCCCCCCCTTCGACCCCCCCCCCCCCGTTCTCCCGCTATCTCATCACGGGCTGCTGCTACGTGAACCGACGAACCACCCCCCCCCCCGACATCGAGAGAACCCCCCCTAACCCCCCCTAACCCCCCCTAACCCACCCTAACCCCCCCCCTAACCCCCCCTAACCCCCCCCACACCCCCCCGCCAGAAGAGTTGTGGCTCACCCGTGCAGGGTGGTGGGGGTAAGAAGAAGGGTGGCACGGGAGGGTGCCACGTGGTTGGGGTGGTGTGTGTGGTGGGGCGGTGTGTTGGGGCTGGGGGTGTGTTGGGGCTGGGGTGTGTTGGGGCTGGGGGTGTGGTGGGGCTGGGGGGGTGTGTTGGGGCTGGGGGTGTGTTGGGGCTGGGGGTGTGTTGGGGCTGGGGGGGTGTGTTGGGGCTGGGGGTGTGTGTTGGGGCTGAGGGTGTGTTGGGGCTGGGGGGGTGTGTTGGGGTGGGGTTGTGTTGGGGCTGGGGGGGTGTGTTGGGGCTGGGGGTGTGTTGGGGCTGGGGGGGTGTTGGGGCTGGGGGTGTGTTGGAGCTGGGGGGGTGTTGGGGCTGGGGGGGTGTTGGGGCTGGGGGATGGTGTGTTGGGGCTAGGGGTGTGTTGGGGCTGGGGGGTGTGTTTCAGTGGATGTGTGAGTGGGGAGCGGTGGTGTAGTGGTCAGCGCTACGCTGCGCTACGAACCCGGCCACCCGAGTTCGATTCCCGCTCGCGGCCAACACCAGTGACGATTATCTGAACCGATCCCGGACCTCCCCTAGGTCGACTCAGCCTCAAATGAGTATCTAGTGCGGTGTGTAGTAAACATCGCCACTGGGGAGACAAAGGCGGTCGGGCGTGGTGCTGGCCACCCACCCCCTCGTGTGCCGTGCCGGCCTTCATAGGTGCCCCTATAGTCTGTTGAGGCTGTACGGGGGATCTTTGTCTTTGATGTTTGTTTTTGTGTGTGCGTGTTTGTCTGTGTGTTCGTGCGCCGTGTCGGTGTGTATGTATGTGCACAAGAACAAAAAGGATGTGTCGGTCAAAATAATAAATGCTTGCCCCTCTGCTGGAGGTTGGCCATTCTCTACTGCTGGATGACTCCCCCCCCCCTCTCTCCTGGTGCCCCACCTGCCCGCCCCCAGCCGCCCGTGTTCACGTCACGGCGCTCAAAACTATTCCGTGATTAACCCTCTGCCTCGCTCTGTCTCTCTATCTATCTCTCTCGCTCTCTCCTCTCCCCGTCTCCATCTCTCTCTCTCCCTCTCTCGCTTCGTTCTACACCACAAAAACAACAACAACAACAGACAGCCGCCATTCGCCACGAAGCGTCGGTGACGTCAGCACGGCGCTTGTACCAGGCCACGTGCACTTCCGAGGCTATCACGTGAAATGTCGAAGGCTCGCTGGCAATCGGTCACGTGACAGACCCTGCAGGTGGGTTCACCGACTTGAGATGACTGACAGATTGCACCACCTGTACCCCCCCCCCCCCCCAACTGTGCCGATTTGCTTCATTTTATCTGCCCGGCGCTCCGCTCGTTGTTGTGAGTGTTGCTCCTCTGCCCTCCGTTGTTGCTGTAGGGCGACTGCCTCCAACTGCCCAGTAGCAGCAGTGTCCTTCACGAGTCACCTCCATACAGGCCGATCTTGACACCGCTGGTACCAGTCTTTGGCAAGTCCACTCAGCTGCACATCCTCCTGAACTGCATGAGTCCATATCTTTTCCAGCCTGTGTCGCGCCCGTTTAGCCCCTTTTATCCAACCAAACATAACATGCTTGGACAGGAGGTGGCTGGCTACACAACCCAGCCAATGCAGCGTTGCCTGCCAGAAGAGCTCACCGATGGGAATGTTTCAGATATTTAAAGGATTTGTGAGCTCCTCACACTGTAATCCAACCTGGTTAAAGCCAGGATGAATCGTGGGCAGGCCAGCCTGGATGTTTCTAAACGGCGCGGATGTTCCATTACATGGGCCAACGTTTCACAAGCATAGAGGGAAGGCATAACTGTGGGCGAGAAGACCCGAAGCTTCGTGTGGAGCAACAGACTAGGTTAGCTTCCACACAGCATTACTCAGCTGGTGACAATATAATGCCGTCCGACTGATTTCGGAGTGAGACCTCTGCTGTCAAACCGGAGCTGGTTATGTGCCAGCAGCTTAGTTATACACGGACCCATCGAGTCAAACAGAGACCCATAGACTGACATAGAGACCCATAGGTGGCCACATAAGACGGTCACATACTCGTATCGAGATCGAGTATCAGACTCACACATAGATCCATGACTGCATCTATGTATAGTACAATGCCCACTGTTCAAATTGTATTCTATGCACGCAGATATATATTGACACTCACGTGCAGACGTGTAGACTCACAGATTTGCAGAGACCCAAGAGACTCAGATACAGATCAATACCCACACAGCCAGTCTCGTACAGAGACCCATAGACTCACAAAGAGACCCATAGAGTTCACAAAGACCCAATGACTCTCAGCCATAGACTCCCATTGATACCCAGAGTTCACATAGAGACCCATAGACTCCGATAGAGACGCATAGAGTTCCCACAGAGACCCACTGACTCACTCAGCCATAGACTCCCAGAGACCTACAGAGTCTCATTGAGCTCACATGGAGACCGCCTGACTCACTCAGCCATAGACTCTCACAGAGACCCACAGAGTTCACACAGAAACCCGTAGACTGACACGGAGGCTCATGACTGGTCACGTGAGAGACGCCATGTATCGAGAGAGACCCACAATGCAACGTGCCAGCAACGTGTCATCATCTTAGCATTCACACAAAGCGATTTGCTTCGTAGCAATATGTTTCTGACTAACGAATGGGCCAGTCTGGTAGCCCGCACCTCCGATTAGTACGGTTGACTACGCACGATGCGAAAGAAGTTCAACCTACACGCGATAGTTACTCATACTGTAACTAATTCATGAGTCAAATTTACATAACTGATCATCAGAATGCATCTGTGAATATAATCATCATCATCATCAGATCGCACGGTGTGAGCAAGTCTCCAGCCCTACCATCCACTGTGTCTCCCTACTGTCCTCTCTGTTCGTGTGCCATGAATAAGGGTTGTTGCCTGAAACGTTGCCGATCATATGTGTTTGCCTCCGAAGGCCACATACACACAGTGTATTGTTGTTGCCGTGTGTGCTGAGTTGGTTTTGTATTGAATAACGCAGATGTGTACACACAAATAAAACACAGACTCGCAGTGACCCATGGACTCACACGGAGACCCATGGACTCACGCAACCATTTTACAGACTCTGATCAACATTGACACTCACGCGTAGACTGACAACAGACCGATAGACTCACATAGACACATTGACTCTCACAGCCATAGACTCCCATCTCGACCCATAGACTAGCATGGGGACGTCATAGCTTCACACTGATACCCATGGACTACCACTGAGACCCACAGACTCCCACTGAGACCCACAGACTCCCACTGAGACCCACAGACTCCCACTGAGACCCACAGACTCGCACAGAGACGCGCGACACCACACACGCGGTGATGTAGGATCACCGTCGGTCGTGTGGCTGTGGTGGCCACGGTGGTTATCGAGAGGCACGAGTGGCGTCATCGCCTAGGGGTCATCCCCTAGGGGTCGTCCCTTGGGGGTCATCCACTTGGGGTCATCCACTTGGGGTCATCCACTTGGGGTCGTCCCTTCTTCTTCGTCCCGAGCGCCGCACGTCAACCCGCGATCACCCACGACCCTTAGCACCTCTCCCTCCGCCAACCCCCCTCCCCCCCCACCCGCTCCTCACACGTACCACTCACACGTACCACTCACACGTACCACTCGCTGTAGTTGGCGGGCAGTGGCGGAATGAGCGACGCGCCGATCATCTCGGCGTGGACGCGGCGCGCCGGCTCGCTCAGCTCCATGAGCGAGTGGGCGAGCGACACGGACGGACTCGCCATGCCACCCCCTCCTCCTCCTAACACTCCTCCTCCTAACACTCCTCCTCCTCCTAACACTCCTCCTCCTCCTAACACTCCTCCTCCTCCTAACACTCCTCCTCCTCCTAACACTCCTCCTCCTAATCCACCACCACCTCCTCCCAATCCACCACCAAGGCCGTTGCTGTGCATCTTGCCCGGCGCGAGGTTGGTCGCGTGCGTCGTGACGGACGCGCCCGACGATGCAGAGGATGATGATGATGATGATGATGTCGAGGACGACGACGAGTGGGAAGAGGAGGAGGTGGTGGTGGGGGCTGCGGGGGTAGCCGAGGGTTCCCCCGCAGCGGAGGGGGGTTGCTGAGCCCCCAAGGCGGGGGGAGTCGCCGATTCGTAGCCCGAGCTTGCGGCGGGCGACGGCTGTGAGCCCTGGGCGCTCGACTCGTGCACCTAGACGGGCACCGTCCGCATCATCAGCATCATCAACATCATCATAAACATCATCAGCACAAGCAGTAGAAGAAGCAATATCATCATCAGAAGAAGAATCAGTAGATTATGAATCAGCAGCAGTAGTAGAATCGTTATCAGCAGCAGAAGAATAATTATCATCATCATCAGAAACATCATCATCGGCGGCTGAAGGATCAGCAGTGAAAGCAATAAACATCATCTATCCACTGCTAGTCGTCTCCTCTCTATCATCAGCAGTAGTTTTGCCATCGTCATCATCAGCAGCCCCAGCTATAGGGCTCCTCCTCCCAACGTGGTCGCCAGCTCTGCCGGTCTCGCGAACGACGCGCGCTGGTCACGACCACTGATAGGGTCTCATTGATCAACGATCGATCAATGATCGATCAATGAGATCACCAATAACTATTGCACCACTGATGCTGCTGTGAAGCCTGTGTCGTCAGCGTCATGTGTGCGTTGTGTGTGTGCGTGCATTGTGTGGGTGCGTTGTGTTTCTGTGTGTGCATTGTGTGTGTGTGCGTTGTGTATGTGGGGAGTGGTAGTGTAGCGGTTTGCGCGCCCTTCTACGAACCTGGCTACCCGGGTTCGATTCCCGCTCATGGCCAACACCAGTGACAGAGATTATCTGAACCGGTCCTGGGCCTCCCCTAGGTCGACTCAGCCTCAAATGGTTCGGTGTGTAAAAAAGCATCGCCACTAGGGAGACAAAGGCGGCCGAGAGTGATTCTGGCCACCCACCCCCTCGTGTGTCGTGCCGGCCTTCATAGGTGTTCGCTAACAGCACTTGTCCCAACAGTCTGTTACAGGCTATACGGGTGAGCTTTGTCTTTTGTGTGTGTGTGTGCGTGTGATTAGTGTACTAGTCCTGCCCAGCATACTCACTCGTTTACCCACTCACCTACCCACTCACCTTCCCACTCACCTATTCAACCACCCACCCACTAACTTACTTAGTCACGCATTCAGTTGCCCCTCATACTCACCCACTCACTCGTCCACCCACCCAGAATGCCTGCTATGGCTTGGGATTTGCTCTTCAGCGCCTGGCATAGGAGCTCGCGAAGGAGGGAGGGCAGTCCCCACCCTGGATGTTAGCGACTTCTAGGAACCATCAACTCGTCAACTCAGCATGCACAGTTCCCCGTCAACGTATGCAATTTCACTTCACAACAACTCATTGACACACCCGTTCACTTACCTACGAACCCACACACACACACAGACGCTCACTCGCCTACCCCACTCACTCACGCACACATCCACTCACCTACCCACTCACTCACGCACACATCCACTCACCTACGAACTCACTCACACACACAGACGCTCACTCACCTACCCACTCACTCACACATCCACTCATCTACGAACCCACTCACCCACACACACACAGACGCTCACTCGCCTACCCACTCACGCACGAACAAACACACACACCTACCCACTATTAGGTAGATTCAGCCTTGAATGAACTCGCATACCTGATGCGCGTTGTGCATTCAACCTCGGTACTGATGGGGAGACAAAGGCGGCTAGGCGTTGGTCGCTGTAACACCAATCCCACGCCCACTCCCTCCGATGTGCCGAACCGGCCTTTGTAGGCGCTCGCTAACCGCACTTGCCCCAGCGGTCTATGAAAGGCTACACGGGGGATCTTTGTCTTTGTGTTGTACTGAGTCAGAATGGGTGACTGCAGAACGAGTCACTGACAATTACACAATTCAACCACTGGTTATAGTATATATACTATTATATATACACATATATATTGTAAAGTCAGTATATATATAAAACATATACGGTACACGTGTAGACTGTTAAGACATTATATAGACACAAAATATAGACATAACGTTATATAAATATACTATTTTATATATACGCGTGTGTATACTGCTAAAAAAGTATATATAGACAGCGTCTAGTCATAACAATATATGTGTTATTATAGATTTGTGTATACCCTCAAACAGCGTGCATATGTAAACAGTGCATGTCGTGATATCAATGAATGCAAGTTTATATATATATACACATGTATTTATTTAAAGACGATATTGGCAGTATAGTTATACAATTATATACGGTTTAATATAAACACGTGTACGCAGTACTTTCAAAGGCAGTCTATAAACAGTATATGTCATTATAAAACTATAGACTGCTTTATATACTGTATACAAATGTGCATGATGTGAACACAGTATAAATAGGTTATAGACGGAATATATAAAAGCATAACACTATATAAATAACCCACCCGTTCCTTTATACATAAAATACGTTCGAGCGAAGATCATGATAAGTGTTTATCACTGTTGTGTGTATTGTGGCGCGTGTGTGGTGTGTTAACGTGTGTACGAGGCAGTGTGTTAATGTGTGTGGTGCGTTAATGTGTGCGGTGTGTTGCGTTAATGGATATGTTGCGTTATTGTGTGTGGCGTGTGTATGTTGTGTTAGTGTGTGTATGTGCATCGCGTGTATAATGTTAATGTGCGCGGTGTGTGTGCTGTGTTAATGGGTATGCTGCGTTAATGTGTGTGTGTGTTGTGTTAGTGTGTATGTGCATCGCGTGTATAGTGTTCATGTGTGTCGTGTGTGCATTGTGTTAATGTGTGTGGTGTGTTAATGTGTGCGGTGTATTGCGTTAATTTGTGTGGTGTGTGTGTGTTGTGTTAATGCGTGGATGTGCATCGCGTGTATAGTGTTCATGTGTGTCGTGTGTGCATTGTGTTAATGTGTGTGGTGTGTTAATGTGTGGGGTGTGTTGCGTTAATTTGTGTGGTGCGTGTGTGTGTGTTGTGTTAATGCGTGGATGTGCATCGTGTGTATAGTGTTCATGTGTGCGTACTGCGCGCGCGCGGGTGCATTTAAAATCGTGCGCGTGCGGGGAGCGGTGGCGCAACAGTTAGCGCAGTGGAAATAATTTGAAAGAGTCGGTGGGGCCGCCCGTATTGTCTTTGTCCGCGTGTGTCTGCGTAGCGGTTAGCGCTACGCTGCACTATGAAGCCCGCGACCCGAGTTCGAGTCTCGCTCACGGTCAACCACCGTTGACGATTATCTAAACCGGTACTGGGCCTCCCCTAGGTCGACTAAGCCTCAAACGAGTACCTGGTGCGGTGTGAGAACATCGCCACTGGGGAGACAAATGCGGCCGGGCGCGGTGATGGCCACCCACCCCCTCGTGTGCCGTGCCGGCCTTCATAGGTGCTTGATAACGGCACTTCCCCCAACAGTCTGTTACAGGCTATACGGGGGATCTTTGTCTTTTCCTATCGTGTAAGTCGAGTGTGTGTGTTTGTGTACGAGTGTTTGTGTGAACCCGATGCGTACGGTATTCGATTCGGAACAAAAAAAATATTCCATCGTTGAAGCGAGATGTGGAAGGAGGACAATTATGTTTTGCTGATGACGACATAAACAATGATGGTGATGTCAATAATTATGATGCTGACGATGTTGCTTCTAATGATGATGATGTGGTGCTCACATTGACCCGATCCTCTCAACCTTCATGTGCCGGCGCAGCGAGCTGGGTTGCGTGAACGACTTGTCGCACACTCACACACTACACTACACTACACACTACACTACACACTACACTACACACTACACTACACACTACACTACACACTACACTACACACTACACTACACACTACACTACACACTACACTACACACTACACTACACTCTCACCTTCATGTGCTTGCGCAGGGAGCTGGGGTGCGTGTAGGACTTGTCGCACAGCTTGCACAGGTAGGGCTTGTCTGACGTGTGCACGTGCATGTGCTTCTTGCGGTCGCTGCTGTTCGCGAAACGTCGGTCGCAGCCCACGAACTCGCAGCGGAACGGTTTCTCTCCTGGGTGGGGGGCCGAGGGGGGGGGTGGGGAGAGGGACAGAGAGGGCGGTGAGCGACGCCTTCTTGTATAGAAATCGATCCGCAGTGTGTCATGGAGAAGGGACGTTGCCCGAAACGTCGCCAATGATGCTTATATGTTTTAACGGCCACACACACGGCGGCGGTGTTGTTGTTGTTGTTGTCGACACGGGCCGTGTTGTTGTTGTAGTTGGCTGTGTTTGTGTACCACTGCCACCGCAGCACGACAATTTTTGCGTACAGTTTTGCCTGTAGAAAATCAAACCCTGGGGATACAAAGGCGGCCGGGCGTGGCTTCAGAACACAACCCCCCACCCACCCTCACCCACCACCACACCCCCATATAGGTGCCACTCGCTGACAGCGCTTGCCCCAACAGCCCGCGCAGGCTACACGGGGGATCTTTATCTTTGTGTGGTTGTATCCAGCACGCGTGTGTCCCTGTGTGTGGGTAGTGTCGCGGTTAGCGCTACGAACCCGGCGACCCGAGTTCCAATTCCTGCTCACGGTGAAAATCAGTTACGATTATCTGAACCGGTCCTTGGGCCTCCCCTAGGTCGACTCAGCCTCAAATGCGTACCTGGTGCGGTGTGTAAACATCGCCACTGGGGAGACAAAGGCGGCCGGGCATGGTGCTGACAACCCACCCCGTTCGTGTGTCATTCTTGCCTTCATAGGCGCTCGCTAACAGCACTTGCCCCAACGGTCTGTCACAGGCTATACGGGGGATCTTTGTCTTTGTTTCGTATAAGAAAACGACTGCTGCTGATGAGAACACCGAACGTGGAAACCAGACCCATGGCTCTGCCTGCGTGGAATCGATGCTGCTGATATTCTGCAAAAAGCCGGTAGGAAGTCCACGTGGATGATGGGATGTGTGAATGTGTTCTTCGTACACAAGGGCGGCCCCGAAACGTCGGGACATCAAGGTTTTAAATTTCGATTTAAAGCTTTCGTGACTGCAGGGATTCATCTTCTTGGTTCTTTCGGTAAAGTCACGTAGAAGGGAAACAATAAAATATTATGTTTTATTTTTATTATTTATCTTCTACGTGACTTTACCGTAAGGACCAAGAAGATACAGGTTTTATTAAATTTATTTTAACACCGCTATTAAAGCATATTATTCAAGCAGATATGTATTTTTTTATTTTATCGTTATTAATAATAGATTATTTTCGACTTCTTCCCTTGTCAGATGGCACGTACCAAAACTCGACCGAGTAAGAACCCTGAATACACGAACAGTCCTAAATACATTTCAAAATATAATTCGTTGCATCGTGTGCGTTACTGTTAACAGTGGAAGTCAGTTTAAACATTTGTTAAAATAAATTGAATAATCCTACGTGAATTATTAAAATAAATCTGATGATCCTATGTGTCCAGACTTTTGGGCCACTCCTTTAGATATGCGTTCTACATATTTTTTCGTAAAAATAAAACCCCTATAATTTTTTTCTTGACTCGAGTGATTTTATTGCGTTTGTGTTATATCGGTGTCTACGTAGCGCAGTACGCTAACCACTGCGCCACCGCTCCCTCCACCCCACACACACTCGCTATACACGGACACTACAAACAGCACGTTCGGGCAACAACAGCTTAAACCACACACACTCGCACAACACGCGCGAGCCTTATGATAGCACAGAAAAAACCCGCGCACGTGGGTCATGGACATAGCTAACAGATCATCGCCAATGCGTATAGCTAAAAAGGCGCAGTCAACGTACGTTGAGCTAACAGACGCGGCTAACATCGCCAACAGACAGAAAAAAAGTGTCTGTGTGTGTGCGCGCGTGCGTGCGTGCGTCTGTGCGCGCGTGCGTCTGAGCGCGCGTGCGTCTGTGCGCGCGTGTGTGTTTATGAGTGTGTGTGTGTTTGTGCAGGTGTGTTTGTCTGCGTGTGTATGTATGTGAGCGCGTATATATGTGTGCGCACGAGTGTGTTTATGTATCGCTAACAGCACTTGCCCCAACAGTCTGTTAAAGGCTATAGGTGGAAACTGTTTATGTGTGTGGGGATCGGTGGCGCGGTGGTCAGCACGCTGCGCTATGAACCCTGTGACCCGAGTTCCATTCGTGCTCACGGATTGCAGCAGTGACGCTTATCTCCACAAGTCCTGGGTCTCCCCTAGGTCGATTCGGCCTCAAATAGGTACCTGGTATGGTGTGTGAACATCGCCACTACGGAGACAAAGGCGGTCGAGCGTGGTGCTGGCTACCCACCCCCTCGTGTGCCGTTCTGGTGTTGTCCACCCACCCCCCTCGTGTGCCGTTCTGGTATTAATTGGTGCTCGCTAGCAGCCCTTACCCAAAGAGTCTGTTAGAGATATACAGAGGGGATCGCTGCCTTTGTATGTTATGAACATTCGTATGTTGATGACATTGTTATTCGAATAAAAAAAAGAACATCCGTGAAAATAAATGACACAAAGTTACGTGGTTATTGAACACCATTACCATCATCAACATCATCAACATCACCACCATCCTAACCTCTCCAAACTCACTCCCTGCACGCAAAATCACGTACCATTGTTCTCGCGCTCGTGATGCTGCTGCTGATGATGATGGACGTTGATGATAAAGATGCTGATGATGTCGATGGTGATGTTCGTTGTGAAGGTTATGATGTTGATGGGAGTGATGATGATGTTGATGGTGGAGGAGTCTGGATCTCGGTTCAGACGCGACGCTCAGTGAGAGCCACGGAGATCGTGTGAAGCTACCCCAACAACAACAACTACAGCAACTACAACAACCAGATTCTACAACAACAACAACCAAATTCCGCAACTATAACAATCACAACACCAAGCACAACAACCAGATTCTATTACAACACCAACAACCACAACAACTGCAACACCTATTATTACGACTGCAACTACGATAACTACAACTACTTCAACAACAACAACTAAAACTGCCATAACTACGATAACTACACTAACTACTATAACTGTATGAATGCATTCCCTTAATATTTAATTTCGCGCGCACACACACTGCATATAAAGTCACACGAGCTAATGAATCAATTAAGATAATTAATTGCAATTGTATATTTCACTGTTTAATATGAAATGCTATTTGTCCATTGCAGAAGGGGAGTTTAATCGAAATTTATCGTTTTGTATACACACAATGCATATAAATTAATTATACAGCAGTGGATGAAGGCTAAGCCAATTTAATTACGTTTTATATAGTATATGTATATATTGTAAAATAATCTTGTCACTCATCTGCTCGATGGATGATCTCATCACACACGGGGGAGGGTTGTTTGACCATACTTCACCATTCTGGTCAATGGGGATTTGGTGTGATTATTTATACGTGTAGTGTGCGTATGTACCAACACAAAACGTATGAATTAACTTTGCTTAAACTTGGCTTAGGTTGTACAAATAGAATTGAAATAGCGAAATAGATAATTGCAATTAATTATCTGAATAGGCTAATTAAGTTATATTTAAACCGTAAAACACTGATGAAAGCGAACGCAATTATGCATTAGAATGGAAGCTCATTTGCATATGTGCATTTACATATTCGCATTGATAATGAGTTGCAATTGTTTTTCCTAAGACAAAAGACAAAGTTCCCCTGGATAGCCTTAACATACTTTTGGGGCAAGTGCTATCAGTATAAACACACACATATATACATACATACAAAACACAAGGGTCCCCCGTATAGCCTTAACAGACTGTTGGGGCAAGTGCTGTTAGCGAGCAGCACCTATGAAGGCCGGCACGGCACACGAGGGGGTGGGGTGGCCTGCATCACGCCCGGCCGCCTTTGTCTCGCGAGTGGCGATGTTTACACACCGCACCAGCTACTCAATTGAGGCCGAGTCGACCTAGGGGAGGCCCAGGACCGCTTATAACACTCGTCACCGATGTGGGGCCATGAGCGGGAATAGAACTCGGTCCGCCGGGTTAGTTCGCGTAGTGCTCTAACTGCTGCGCCACCGCTCCCGACACACGCACACACACAACACGCACACAACACACACACACAACACGCACACAACACACACACACAACACGATATACACAACAGAGACAAAAGCTCATCCACGCAGACTCTCAACAGAGAGTCGGGACTAGTGCAACGTATTCACAAACATTAATCGATTACACATTCATACACACACCGATATGTATATACATATGCACATATACACGCGTAAAGACACATATATACAATGGCAAAGACAAAGATCCCCCGAATAGCCTTAACAGACTGTAGGGACAAGTGCTGCTAGCGAGCACCTAAAAAGGCCGAGACGGCACACGAGGGGGTGGGTGGCCAGCGCCACGCCCGGCCGCCTTTGTCTCCCTAGTGGCGATGTTTACACACCGCACCAGATACTGATTTTGAGGCTGAGTCGACCTAGCGGAGGCCCAGGACCGGTTCAGATAATCGTCACCGGGTGTTGGCCGTGAGCGGCAATCGAAGCCGGGTCGCCAGGTTCCTATCGCAGCGAGCTAACCGCTACACTACCACTCCCCCCACACACATATATATGTATACATACAAACAATACGCAGATATGCACATAGTAATTACGTTATTTTTCATTAACTAATTCTTCCACCTCTCCTCCCCTTCTCATTTACACCCTCCCCCATCACCACCCACCATCACCACCCCCCCCCCCCCCCCATCTCTCATTTACCCCCGGTGCTCCTCGACGTGCTCTTCGGCGTCTCTTGGTGATGCTAATGTGGTTGGCAAGAGATGAGGGATCCAGTCCCGGGTTTTGTGTTGGCGAAAGTAGTCGCGCTGAGTACCATTAGCATGAGAAGCGAGGAGCTGGGGTGGAGGAGGAGGGAGGGTGACGAGAGGGAGGAGGAGGGGGAGGGGAGAGGCGGAAAGCCCCCGCGAATACCTCGTCTCGATGGGATCCATCCTTCATCCACACACAGCGATCACATCGCTACAACAGCAGCAGCAACAACAACA